TCCCGAATTGATCTGAATTTACCTGAGGGGCCACTACTTCTCTAGTGGCCTCGACGAGGACAGGAAACCGGCGGCTTGTCAAAGGTCCCCCCCCCCCCCTCCCGATTTGTCTTGATGATTTCTTTTGAAGCTGGGTTTTAAAATTCAACAATGTTTCGGCATTTACAGCTTCGGTGGGTAGACTCGGTTCAATGGGTTTATTATTTCTATGGGTAAAAAAGCATCTCTTTTCTGTCCCGCATTGTGGCTTATTGAGCTTGAAACCTTTACTCTTTGTGTTACATATGGCCTTCTGAAGAAGTTGTCTGGATCAATATCCTCCAAATTGTTTAGTATTCTAGAAGTTTCGATTAGATCATCTATGTCATGTCTTGTTTGCAGTGTTGTTAGCCCTGTGGCTCTCAACCTGTCCTGGTATGAGTTACGAAAATCTACAATAGAAATAAGAGGGTTGGCAAAGTAGCCTAATAGCAAACATCAATTAATTATATAATATTAAAGCTCTTTGAGGAGATGAAGCCGATAATAATAATAATAATAATAATAATAATTCATTGTGTCGGGGAAAGGCAGTCAGTGTATATATGTTAGGCTTACATCAAGGTTTCGCCGAAGGTCAAATTACTGATCCTCCCCAGGATACAGTCCCACAACAAGGTAACTTTTGGGTACCTTTTTACTCTTTTTCTTTATTATTATTATTTTCTACCACAGACGTGGCCACACATTTACAATGCTAATCAGAATATATACATTTTCTTCTGTCCTCCATGGACAGAGTTAGAGATTTGTCAAACATACAGTTCAGGGATTTATTGAACAATCAACCACAGAAGATGATTGTAGTGCTTTTAAAATGCTAGGCTAAGCTACATACGTAAATACATGGCTACACAGATTTATGTATGCTACATAAAGTGTTCGATGTGTCACCGCTTTACTGCTAGGTAAAGAGGCTCATTAGGTCATAGAAATCGCGCCCAACGAATTCCATCCCCCCCCCCAGATTCGAACTCTAAATTCCCGATTGTGTTGAGAATGACCCTACATGTAATACTAATCCATATTTCAGTTAGATTTACACCATAATTATAATTAGAATATTCATTATCTGTTGTAACATAATTTATAGTAAAAAAAAATTGTATTTGATTCTTTGTAAAAAAAAAAAAATCTACTACCCTTTATCTACATATTTCTACATCGAGTTGAATCCTGACGATGTGAAAGAGATATGTTCATGTCTTGTCTGTGTAGAATAGCCTACTAAAATACTTTTGTAATTAGAATTGGTATTAGAGTATAGAGTTTTAAAGGTTAGGGTTCACGGGTAAATCTGTGTAGTGCTTTTATATTTAGTGTGTTTAAGATGTTAAGTATAAATATTATATTAAATTACATACAGCCCCACTCCTATGCCAGGTAAGTCCACTACGGGCTCACCATAACCCGTGCTACTTGGAACATTTTGTTCCCAGTAGCTGAATTTAAAACAGCAACGAGTATTAAATGGTGTTTAGGGTTAAAATTCGTTATAATCTTGATTGTTGAATTATGTTGATTATAAATCTGAGGTAATTTTGGATCGCAGATTCTTTAAGTGATATATGAGCGAATATAATGTTTTTAACATAATCTACACAAAGCGAAGTTAGAGAGTATGCCTACAGTTATACTCTTTATTTATTTTATTTATTTTGCAATTAAAGTTTTTTACATGGATATGTCTAGAAATTTTCTGCGTTCTCTCAATTTGGGCGTCGTTTATTAAATAACAGTAGGTAATTTTTGGTCAAAAATAGAATGCATGCCTATTATATATTGTTAGTTTAGAGAGCAAGTTTGTTAGTTGTCAACCACATGCTGCTGCCCACTTATCCTAGAAGAATTACAAAATTACAGCTTGTAGTAGTGGGTAGTAAGCACGCATTAAGATAGGAAATGGTGTAAATAAACTCCATTCACGAGACTGAAATGTAAATATAATCAAACCCAAAGGCTTAATATATCACACCAGTTGATTACAGGCTACGAGGTGGGGATCAAGAGCTGGAACCCGATCACTTTGCGTATAGGATGGTTAACCAAGAACTTGTAAAACCGAAGTACGTAACCTAGCCTAGCCCAACAAACCTAGTCAAATCCATCCTTACCGCGCCTAGCCTTATATATCCAGCAAGCACATACAGGTTAGCACAGCCCCAGGAGTATGCGGCCCCAGCATGGAGCCCGTACCTTGTCAAGCACAAGACGAAGCTGGACAAAGTTCAAAGGGATGCCACTAGACTAGTCCCAGAACTAAGAGGCATGAGTTACGAGGAAAGGCTGCGGGAAATGCACCTTACGACACTGGAAGACAAAAGAGTAAGGGGTTACCTACCTTGAGGTTACCTTGAGGTGCTTCCGGGGCTTAGTGTCCCCGCGGCCCGGTCGTCGACCAGGCCTCCTGGTTGCTGGACTGATCAACCAGGCTGTTAGACGCGGCTGCTCGCAGCCTGACGTATGAGTCACAGCCTGGTTGATCAGGTATCCTTTGGAGGTGCTTATCCAGTTCTCTCTTGAACACTGTGAGGGGTCGGCCAGTTATGCCCCTTATGTGTAGCGGAAGCGTGTTGAACAGTCTCGGGCCTCTGATGTTGATAGAGTTCTCTCTCAGAGTACCTGTTGCACCTCTGCTCTTCAACGGGGGTATTCTGCACATCCTGCCATGCCTTCTGGTCTCATGTGCTGTTAGGGGAGACATGATCACTACCTACAAAATCCTCAAGGGAATTGACAGGGTAGATAATGATAAACTATTCAACACTGGTGGTACGCGAACAAGGGGACACAGGTGGAAACTGAGTACCCAAATGAGCCACAGGGATGTTAAAAAGAACTTTTTCAGTGTCAGAGTGGTTAACAGGTGGAATGCATTAGGCAGTGATGTGGTGGAGGTTGACTCCACACAGTTTTAAATGTAGATATGACAGAACCCAGTAGGCTCAGAATCTGTACACCAGTTGATTGACGGTTGAGAGGCGGGGGCCAAAGAGCCAAAGTTCAACCCCCCTCCCCCGCAAGCACAAATAGGTGAGTACAGCCGAGTGTGCCTGAAGGAGAGAGTCGCTGGAAACAAAACACGTGCGTCCATAGGCCACTTGCTAGACCATGAGAGATGAACATGAACATGTGGAGCTCACAGCGGCTTCAAGGACATTTGTGTGTCCTTTGACAAGGAGTGGCTGGGTCCCTGACGGTCAGTGTGGCGGGGCAGGAGGCGGGGCAGGAGGCGGGGCCCCCTGACGGTCAGTGTGGCGGGGCCCCTGACGGTCAATGTGGCGGGGCAGGAGGCGGGGCCCCTGTAAGCGATGAAGCAAAGCAGGTGGCTGAAGGTATGTTCTCACGCCCGGGTGTTTCACTCTGGAGGCGTTTCGTTTTTGCAAAGGATCACAAAGGAGTTAAAGCAGGAACTGATCATCATGTATCATCATTTATGGTAAGTTTATGGTGGCACACGCATTATAAGGTACATTGCATAATGTCACTGTAATTAAATTAATCTATGTGTACTCGATTGTCGCCACTGCTGGTGACGCTGTTTCCTGTGGTGGTCCAAGACGTCCCCCGTCTTTCCATCTGTAAAATGTTGATGACTGGAGATTAACTGTGCTGCTGCTGTAGTAAAAGGTGGTCGCTGGAGTCTGCCATGGGGCGTCCGGGCTGGAGGGAGGTTGTGGATCAGCTGAGGGAGTGTGGAGGGCGGGGCTGGAGAACGTGAGGGGTTGTGGGGTCACCGCTGATGATGCCCTCAGGTCCTACCCACCACCATCCCTCTTTCTCCCTCCCTCCCTCCCACTCTTTCTCTCATTCAGCGTTGCCCCGCGCACAGTGGCTCGCTCCCGCTCGCCTCAGTGATAAACCTCACGCTTCACACTCGCTTCGCACGGATCTCGTGCCCGGCTGCAACTGCCCACCACGCTTTTCACCTGCCGTAAGTCACACTAGAACACCCACACGCTGCAGTGTGCCCCAGTGTGGCAGGAGTCGGCGCTGCAGAGGAGCGGGAAGATTGCGTCACCGTGAGCGTGTCTGGCCGGGCAGTGTTTACAGGGCAGCAGCCCACGTGAGACCCAGGGAGGCCTTGCTCTCCACGCCACACCTGCCTCCACACCTGCCTCGTGTTAACCCCACATACTCTTCCTCTTAAACGAAACCTCTGTAAAGTACTCATTCGTAATGAAGTGCGTAAATTATATTTCACCTTGATAACAAAGAGGAGCAATAGATGGGGCAAGACTGTCTCCCACACCGCCCCTGGTAGCTGCCGCCCAGCACCGCCAGGCCTCTCACCTGATCATAGTCTTTGTGCAGTAACTACTCAGTTGTGTTCCAGTGACCTCTGTGTGGTTCCAAATTTGGTAATGAACACCTTGTTGTGACCGGACTTGTGTTCCCTTCATACTCCGTGGCATACGACACATTTGCAAAGCCTCGTTGTAACTCGCTATACAGCACATTGACAAGACCCAGTGTTTTGTGACCCACTATGACACCTTGACAAAGCCTAGTGTTTTGTGACCCGCTGCATGACACCTTGATAATGCGTAATATTTTGTGATTATTAAGCAACATTGGCAAGGCCTAGCGTTTTTGTTTTAACATATATTCAACCACGGCAGATAAACAACACTAATAGGACTAAGTGTTTTGTGAACTTATATTCGAAAACGGCAGCACCCAGGGTTGTGTTACCCACTGTAACTGTGTGGTCCAGGTGACCTGTGCGTTGTAACTAATTCTGGTTTGAAAGTTCAGACTCGTGTTTGCGCGGGCCTATTAATAACTTCTGGAAAAGTTCAATGTTACAAATTGTTTTGATTTCCAGAGATGACTCGGCGCTGAGGGCCTGGAGGCTTGCTGGAGGATACTTGAGCCGATTCCTCCGCAGTGATTTGAGAGATTAATGCGTTGCCAACGTATTCCGCGCTTCCTTGGGGTCCAGTTTTCCCTTGTGACCTTTTGTCAGTCGGGTGTTATATAGCTGTCACTGGTCCAGTTATACTGCTCAAGGACTCCTGCAGGAAGTCTCTGCTTCACCCGCGCCTGCAACACCCAGGAGAACCCCCCCCCCCCGACAACTCTCTCAAAAGGTATGTTCTTCATAATATATAATTATTGAATGATTAAAAAGTCAGCTTTCTGAGTGCAATTAGCGTAAAAAGTTTGTGCACTGTGGCCATTATGGCTGGTGATGGCAGAGACAATTGGGACAACAGTAGTAATTAAGCCTCATTGTTGTTCAGCGAACAGCCCGGCCCCCTGCTGTATGTAGCCTGGCTGTGTGTCTGCTGTATGTAGCCTGGCTCTGTGGTGCAGTGTAGGTATAAGTAGCAGCCGGGCTCTCTGCTGTATGTAGCCTGGCTCTGTGGTGCAGTGTAGGTATAAGTAGCAGCCGGGCTCTCTGCTGTATGTAGCCTGCGAATAAATATCATCAGGCCTAAAACTGATGTACTAAGAATGCAGTCCATCCTCCTGTTTAGATAGTACTTATAGTAACGATGTGGATCATCGTACATATATTGACGTAAGGGACAATTAGAAAGTTGAAATTGGTACTATTGAATTTGGACAAACCGGAAAAGGTCTTGTATTTATGTTGGTAAAAAAAAGCTTAACCATCCTAGGGCTAATACACGCAATCTGATGCCTAATACAGTACATATATGTGCTATGCTAGGCCTAGGAATATTTAAGTTTGGTTTTTAGCATTATTTTCCCAGACTCTTATAAAGTTAATACGTAGTACCAAATTCTACTATCTAATTATCCATTACGTCAATATAGGTATGGTAGTCCATATTGTTGCAAAAAGCACTATATAAGCAAGAGGAAGGGCTGTAAAAATCGTAACGGCTCGCAAAATTGACGTAATGTTACGTTTTCTATTAGTGTCCTAAGTTAGGTTAGGCTCCGGCAATTTAGTACATCAGTTTAGTGACACTGTGACCACTCGATAGTCAACCCGTCCTCAGACCAAGTCCATTCCATCCAGCGGTCGGTCCACCCCAAACACCCATTCATAAATTTCAACATGCTATTCATTCAAAACAGGAATGTTCTCAAATATAAATTAATATTATATTATATTAGCATATTGTGCAAATATAGGCATAGGTTAGATTAGGTTAGGGGTTTAGGTTCTGTTGGCGATTATTTGTATTTGTAGTGCGTGGGTGAAGCATTTACAGCGTTGTGGTTCGAACAAAATTCGTCAGTGAAGCACTTATTCCAGAAGTGTTCGCACGAAATCAGTTGAGTCGTGTGTAAACCGTTTTTCATTCATAAACAGGGATTTTGGCGGGTGTATGGAATCACTTTTGGGTCTTTGTTTGGAGGACGGGCTGCATGGAATGGACTTTGGGTCTTTGTTCATAAACATGGGGTTTGGTGGCTGGATTAATGAGTATTTGGCGTTTGTTGATGCGGACTGCCTGCGTATGTTAATATTTGACTTGTAGGCCACTTGACCGTGTTCTATGACTGAAAATATGTTTCGTTCACTTCCAGCCTGTATTGTAAATACTCACTAGTTCAATGTAACCAAAACACCTGATTTAGACCTATGAATAAACCCTTAATATTTAATACTTTGTAATTATATTTAAGAAAAAACGTTTATTATACTATACGGAAGACACCTTGTCAGTCCGTTATCCACTGTATTAAAGTATGACGTATTAAAAGTTACGTAAGTCAGTATTTAGTTATGTCTTGAGCTGGAGGATGGGTTGCTTTATATGCTTCACCTACGCATTTCAAGTCAAAATAATTGCCAACGGATCCCAAATACATAACTATACATAAAATTATTATATATAATATTATTTATATTATAGAATGTCGGTTTTTGATTGCGCAGCACAAAATAATTGAGGAATGCGCCTTGGGGAACGGCCACAGCTTGGACAAGCATGGCCTGAGGACCGGTTGCTTCGCTGGAAACAGTGTATCGAGTCTATCTCTACTGCTTTACTTCCTGGTTTATTTCACTTCTGAAGAATGTTTTGTTTCTACAAACCCTTGAGTACATCAGTCTTAAACTGCTGGGCCCGGACTCTCACCATGATATCAACCGATGTGTTTGTCCACGTGGTGTCCCATTGCCGGGGACAGAAAACCAGTTAGGCATATCTAGGACACCCTAGAGGCCAAAACATGATCCCCCCCCCCCCCCAGGATGCACCCCACAACAGCTACCAAACTCCCAGTTGCTTGTTTACTGATAGGTAAAGGGGGGGGGGCCTGACAGCTGAGTGGATAGCGCTTCGGATTCGTAGTCCTGAGGTTCCGGGTTCGATCCCCAGTGAAGGCGGAAACAAGTGGGCAAAGTTGCTTTCACCTTGATGCTCCTGTTCACCTAGCAGTAAATAGGTACCTAGGAGATAGACGGCTGCTACGGGCTGCTTCCTGGGGTTGTGTAACAAAATGGAGGCCTGGTCGAGGACCGGGCCGCGGGGACGCTAAGCCCGAAATTATCTCAAGATAACCTCAAGAAGATAAACTAGGTGAACAGAGGCATTATTTGTAAGGAAACGTTCTCAAACGTCTTATCTTGCCCTGGAATCTAACCCTTTGACCATTCGTATTCATTGTTAAAGTTTGTTATGATTTTGCGTTTGTACTATATGCCGCTCATTTCAGTACCTTTACACATCCACACACCTATACAACAGCCGATTCAGGCACTAAAACTTCTCTGCGCTTTGTCCAGGTCAGCAGTTTATACAGCTTTGAAAGGGTGGCTGACAGTGTGCAACAATATTACACTGTAGATAGCACAGGTGTTTTAAAAAAGTACTGTTACAACCACTTTTTTGTATTCATAAAAAGTAACATTTTCCTACATTCGTCCCAGGCCTTTAACGTGGCCTTTTCTGGTATGGTTTGCTGTGTTCCTGTTTTGCTTTCTCTGTTGTTACCATGGCACAAGAGCTGAAGCTTGTCTTCATTCAACATCATGTTTCTCGTTGTCCACTGAAAGACCTGATTTACACTAGTTTAAATATTTGCCATATGCTCAATTTCTTTTACTCATATGAATCAGTATCAGTGATGATAGGGTTATAATTGATGTCCTCTCGTATGAGAGTGAGGAAGCCTACTGGAACAAATACAACACTCTGGATAACTGAGATTTTCACCATGGATAATCCAAGCTTTACTTTGTTTATTAATTATTCTTTGGGTTTGACTCGCTTGGAAATTAGAGATCCATCTTCCCTTTCTCGTTATTTTTTCTATGACAATTTTGTATGCAATTACAACACCAAGGTCACATTTGCTCCTCTTCCATCGCCAGTTGCCACATCTGGTATTGGAATATATCCTGAATCTAACCATAAATAGGCCTGGTCGAGGACCGGGCCGCGGGGACGCTAGGCCCCGAAATCATCTCAAGATAACTAACCATTCGCATCAAACCGATACAATCGGAAGCAGTGGGACTATAGTTGCATAATGAGCCTCCTTCCCCCACTACACGAATAAAACATTTGGCAACTTTAACAGGTTGAAGAAAGTGAGCCAAGCCTGGAATGCAAGATGAGGCCTTTCAAGTGAACAGGTACTAACCTAATTGTCCCACCTCTCAGCCTTCAATGAGCCAGTGTACAGGTTTCAGAGCCTGTTGGGCTCTCTCACCTACATTTAAACCTGTATGTGGAGTCTACATCCACCACATTTAGCGCATTCCATTTGTTTACAATGCCACTAAATTTGTTTTATTGTACCTGTGACTCATTTGGCTGCATAGTTTCTATTTGTCCCACTGTCCATATACTCTTTATGTAAAATTGTCTGTCTCTGTCTGCCTTGTCCATCCCATTGCAAATCTTGTATGTTGTGATCATATCTTCCCTGATTCTTCTCTCTTCCAGTGACGAGAGGTTTAACTCCTTTAGTCTTTCCTCGTAGCTCATATCTCTTGGCATCGTTATGTGTTTAACGAGATAAGAACTGTATGATGTCCTTATCATAGTCCTTATCTCGTTAAACTGATGTTGTATATTCCAGAATTGGTGTGACATGTCAGACATGTGGTACAGGTGTGACATGTGGTACAGGTGTGACAAGTCAGACATGTGTGACAAGTCAGACATGTGTGACATGTGGTACAGGTGTGACATGTCAGACATGTGGTACAGGTGTGACATGTGGTACAGGTGTGACATGTGGTACAGGTGTGACATGTGGTACAGGTGTGACATGTCAGACATGTGGTACAGGTGTGACATGTCAGACATGTGGTACACAAGGTCCTGAGTGTGTTTCTGTGCGTATGTATTCTCACCTAAATGTGTCTGAAGGAGTGTGTTAACTCCTGAACCCGCCTTGCTCTCTGTCTTGTGTGTGTGTGTGTGTGTGTGTGTGTGTGTGTGTGTGTGTGTGTGTGTGTGTGTGTAATTACCTAAGTGTAATTATCTAAGTGTAGTTACAGGATGAGAGCTACGCTCGTGGTGTCCCGTCTTCCCAGCACTCTTTGGCATATAACGCTTTGAAACTACTGACGGTCTTGGCCTCCACCACCTTCTCACCTAACTTGTTCCAACCGTCTACCACTCTGTTTGCGAAAGTGAATTTTCTTATATTTCTTCGGCATCTGTGTTTAGCTAGTTTATATCTATGACCTCTTGTTCTTAAAGTTCCTGGTCCAGGTGTGTGTGTGTGTGTGTGTGTGTGTGTGTGTGTGTGTGTGTGTGTGTGTGTGTGTGTGTGTGTGTGTGTCTGTCTGTCTGTCTACGTGTGAGTATGAACGCGCACACGTGTACATGTGTGCATTCATGCGTGCGTGTACGCGTCCCCCCCCCCCCCACCCCCTAGCGGATGCTGCTCACTAGCCCAGCCATTGTTACCTCCTGCCCATTTGCAGTATATCTTGTACTGGAACGCGACCTGCCTTGTCAAGTAGCGTCATTCACTGCTAATGGTACAATGTCTCACTTGGCTAACAATGGAGTGGCTGTTTGGGGGGTCCATTAGCAGAAATGATTCTACACATTATTTTCTAATAGGGCGTTTATTTGATATGAGTGGTTACTGACACAGTGCTACGGATTACCGGAACAAATGTAGATGTTCTCAAGAGGTCTGC